CTGATGATCGCGAGGCTCAGCTGGGCATGGGGGGCGGGGGCAGGGATTTTTGCTACCAGTTTTCTGAACTGCCCGCCGCCATCGCTACCTACTCGCCCGAGCCGGTCCAAACCGGGAGGATTTCACCCCTGGAATGGAATGGGAGAAAATCTGCAGATGGTGTTCATTATTAGATGGACAACTTAACTTGGTTAAGTTAAACCAAGCCTCTTCCTTCCCAAAGCTTGCTTGGGTGATGATTGTTCTTGGTTCCTTGGTTTTGAAAATAAGATCTTAATCATGTCTGTCTTTAGTCAAATCTATTTCCATTAAAGACAAAGAGACACAGATCCTTTGCTTGGGGGAAACCTAGATAATTCCCAGGAGTTAATCTTTAAATAAGTAAATAATGTACTTGCTATACAACGCAGGGAGTTTCTAGGCTGCCTTCAGAATCTGCAAGTAGGCAATCTAAGGTGGCGATCAGATAATATGTATCCAGTAGGTGCGCAGGATTACATCTCCATGTATAGATCAGGGGTTGGCAACCACACTCAAAGAGCCACAAAGGTCCTAACCAGAAGCCCCCGTTCAATTCTGGAGCTGACCGGAAGTCCGGTTCCCCCATCATAGTCTCCCCCTAGCACAGTGTCCTTTTTTCTCTGCTGACCAGAAGTCCGGTTCCCCCATCATAGTCTTCTCCTAGCGTGGCGTCCTTTTTCTCTGCCGATTGGAAGTCGGTTCCCCCACCATAGTCTCCTCCTAGTGTGGCATCCCTTTTCCTCTACCTGTAACCGAAACCCCTATCAATTGTGGAGCTGACCAGCAACAGGGAGCCGCAGCAGAGGGATGAAAGAGCCACATGCAGCTCCAGAGCCGTGGGTTGCTGACTCCTGCACTAGATATTTGTGTACAAGAATTTACGATCGAACTAACAACGTTAGAAATAGTTCCATTGGCCGGCATGAAAAATCCCCAAATGAGGAATATCTGTTGTGAGAAAACCTTTTGATGCTTTCTTATAAAGAATACTAGTGCTTGAGGTCTCTTTAACCTGTCAACAACTTAGGCAATTTAGAAAGCAGGAAAAGAACATAACCTTGAATATAACATTTTACTATGTTTGAGTTGGGGAGCAGTTCTTTGCACCATCTGGAGATTCTGGCTGTCAGAATCTCTATCAAAATCTGGTTTTTGAGTTATTCTAAGATCTGAAATGAATGTTCAGCTATCTAGAAATTCCTAGGCTGCTCTTGGTGTTTGGTGCTAGGCTGGTGGCGGCATTAATTGGTTGAGAGACCCTGAATTGTGGAGAGAGGCCTAAGGGAGGCCATAATTGGGTTAATTGTAGATGTGGAAAGAACAAGTAATTTTCATGAAGGAGGTGGCTCTTGTAAAAAACAGAAGCCACATAAAGAAAGATTGATGATTGATTTTGAAAACAAACCAGATTTGCTGGGGACTGCAGAGAAACAGACTCCAGGAAAAATATCACACTACAGATACCATGTTTTCCCAAAAATACGACCTATCCCAAAAGTAAGTCCTAGCTTGATTTTTACATGTGCACCCAATATAAGCCCTACCCCCAAAATAAGCCCTAATTAAGACTCCGCCTATTCCAGGTTGCACAGGCTGGGGTGAGGTGCATGGGTAAAAATGAAGCTAGGTTGGGGATGGAGCTGCCCTACTTATCAGGCCTCGCACACCCCAACATCTACTCGCCTTGCAGGCCACTTCTTCTGCGGCTGCTTGCGCGCATCGCCCCCAACCTCCATTTTGCTGTCAAACGCCTTCCAGAAAGTCCTCTGCAGCCGAGAAATGGGCTCAATCAATCCAGAGTATTATCAGCTGCAGAAGGCTTTCCGGAAGGCCTCTGATGGCAAAATGGAGGCTGGGGGCGATACGTATGAGTGGCTGTAGAAGAAGTGGGCGGCAGCAGGCTCCTGCTGGGTGGGATTGCTTGTGCCGCTACCACAAGGTGAGTCAATAATTAGACATCCCCGAAAATAAGACCTGGTGCCTTTTTTGGTTGTAAAAAAACCATAAGATGGGGTCTTATTTTCAGGGAAACATGGTAGTCCTTGACTTATGATGGAAATTCCAATTTCAATTGTGGTCATAAGTCAGTGTAGTTGTAAAGCAAGTGACTGTACCCAATTTTATGACCATTTTTATTATCATTTGTTAAATAAATCACATGGTCATTAAGTGAATCCAGCCTTCCCAATTGACTTTGCTTGTCAGAAGCTGGCTGGGAAGCTCACAAATTGTGATCACTTAACTACCAGCTACTGCAACCATCATCAGTGTGAACCAGTTGCCCAATGACCAAGTTGTGATCATGTGACTGTCAGGGTGGTGCGACTGTTGTGACTTCAAGGACGATTTGCAAGTCCCTTTTTCAAAAGCCATCGTATTTTCAAACGATCGTTAAACAAAAGTTCATAAGTTATAAGTTAAGGGCTATTTGTAAGGTATTCCCCATAGGTGAGGCAATAGAGCAGCGGCTTGGAATGCTACTGGAGGCTCCATTCTAAGCTTTGAGTCATGTGACCCAGAGTGGAATATATGCCGCTTGCAGCTTGTTCAGCAACAACAAATTCATATGCTTGGCCTGCGTTTACGACCACATGATGCACTTATCTAACCCTAACCCTCAGCGGTAAAATCCAAATATTTTTACTACTGGTTCTGTGGGCGTGGCTTGATGGGCGTGGCAGGGGAAGGATACTGCAAAATCCCCATTCCTACCCCACTCCTGGGGGAAGGATATTGCAAAATATCCATTCCCACCCCACTCGGGGGCCAGCCAGCGGTGGTATTTGCCAGTTCTCCCAACTACTCAAAATTTCCGCTACCAGAACCTGTCAGAACCTGCTGGATTTCACCCCTGCTAACTAGAAGTGGGTTTCAGCAGGTTCTGACCGGTTCTGGAGAACCGGTAGCGGGAATTTTGAGTAGTTCGGAGAACCGGTAGTAAAAATTCTGACTGGACCTGCCCCCATCTATTCTCTGCCTCCCAAGATTTCCCAAGTATCCTTCCCCTGGAGTGGGGTGGGAATGGAGATTTTACAATTTCCTTCCCCTGCCACGCCCACCAAGCCATGCCAACAGAACCAGTAGTAAAAAAATTTGAAACCCACCACTGCTGCTAACCCCCACCCCCACCCCCAATCTCCATCCTGCTCTGTCTTTTTGGCCATCCTGCTGTGCCACCCTGCACCACTCCCACTCCCTTACAAAACCTTCGCTATCTTCTTCCTCCCGCTGCTGTTAAGGCAACTGTTGGTCAGTGTGCACCCTTGTGAAGTCCTGCAACTCCAGCAGCTGCTTTGCAAACGGCCAGGGCCAGGCATATCCCATCAGCAGCAGGAGGAAGACGGCAGCAAAAGTTGGCTAGGGGCAGCGAAAAGTAGGGTGACTAAAAGGGCAGAAATAATGGTACAGATAGGCGGGTGGGGGAGTGTGGTAGGACAGAAGAGGTGATGGCGCAGTCCTGGCCTAATGACCACATCCAGGACTTACCAGAATTGCCGTTACTCAGTGGTGAGGTCACTTGATGTTTCACCTAACGACTGCAGCAATTACAATTATGGCCCCCATTAAGACTGTTAAATGAGGACTTCCTGTATGTGGAGAGGAGCCAGTGTGATCTATTGGCTAAGACATCAGGCTAGAAATCCTGAGTTCTAGTCCGCCTTAGTCTTAGTCATGAAGACTAAGTCATGAAGGGTGACCTTGGACCAGTCGTTTTCTCTCAGCCCTTGAAAAGGCGCACTAGCAAATCATTTCTGACAAACCTTGCTAAGAAAACTGCAGGGACTTGTCAGGCAGTCTGCTGCAAGAATCAGACATGATTAGCTGATTAAATGGAAAGATAAAAACCCTGTATGTACACACAATGATAGGAATTTCCTCCCCCTTTCCTAGAGGTACATAAATAAACAAGACATATGCATACACCTTGATTTAGATTCATTCTCCCCCTTTCTTTCTCTTCCTCCCTCCCTCCCTCCCTCTCTCTCCCTCCCTCCTTCTCTCTCACACACTCACATCCTCATTAGACCCTGTGGAGAAAGTACTGCATATAACGCACTGCAGCTACATCTTGTGGCCACTGCTGGTAACAACACTGAAATTAATTTTTATCTTATTTTTTATAACCCAAGGGAATGATGGCGAACCTATGGCACGCGGAGCCATATCAGTGGGCACACGAGCTCAGCTCCGGCGCGCAGGTGCACACTGGCCAGCTGATTTTCGGGCCTTCTGGGCCCACCAAAAGTCAGGAAACAAGCTGTTTCCAGCCTCTGGAGGGCCTCCGGGGGGGCGGGTGGGAAGGCCCGTTTTTTGCTCTCCCCAGAATCCAGAGCCTTTCTAGGAGCCTGGGGAGGCCGGAAACGACCCATTTCCCAACTGGGGAGAGCAAAAAACGGGCCTACCTGGCCCACCGTGCCATTGCGTGCCAAAAGCAGGGGGGAGCACAGGGGTGGGAAGTTGTGCGCACATTCACGGGGGGCATGTAGAATTATGGATATGGGCACGTGTGCATGCGACACCCCCCTGCACTCCCCCCGCTTTTGGCACGCAAAAGGTTAGCCATCACTGATATAAAGGGAGAAATAATATAAAGGGAGTTGGAATGCTGCCTTTGCATCAGCAATATGTATTTACTTATTTACTTTCACTAACACACTATTTAATTCTGTGGACCAAGGGTGGTTTACAAACACTAAGAATACATCATTCACAAAACAACAGAAGTTTGAGTGGAGTTGGTGACATGCAAATTCAATTAAAATACAAAAGAAGCATACATTAAACTAACTGGGCAGTCCCCAAAGGATTAGAAGCCATTTATGAACTTCTCCTGAAAGGTGGTGCAAAATTGTTTTTCTATACCAGTTGTGAAAAAATCCTGAAGTGTTGTAGTGAAGAGAGACCTGAAGTTGAATAGTTTTGCTGTTGACTTTAAGAAAAAAAGGGGGGAAAGTTGAATTCTGTTTCTGTTTCTCTAGATGATGGCAGAAGGGAAAATTACCAGACAGATAATCCAACTCCAGAACCTCTCCTCCTTCAGATCCAAGACCCTTTGCCAGATGTCGTGGTGGACAAATCCCAGATACAACAGGACCCCCTAAATAATGGTATTAAACAGGAATTGGATATGGTGAGTGAAATGAGAGGCCTGATCTTGGGCACCAAGCCCTGGAAGAGAATAAATGGGGCTGCCTTTGCCTTCTTCTCATGCCTTGCTCTTATGCATCTTGCTCTCTATAGCAGTGGTGAAATCCAATTTTTTTTACTACCGGTTCTGTGGGCATGGCTTGGTGGGCGTGGCAAGGGAAGGATACTGCAAAATCTCCATTCCCACCCCACTGCAGGAGAAGGATACTGCAAAATCCCCATTCCCTCCCCACTCCTGGGTGAAGGATATTGCGAAATCCCCATTCCCACCCCACTCGGGGGCCAGCCAGAGCTGGTATTTGCCTGTTCTCCAAACTACTCAAAATTTCCGCTACCAGTTCTCCAGAACCTGTCAGAACCTGCTGGATTTCACTCCTGCTCTATAGTCTTTGCTTCCTAGCAGTGCTGAGACTTACGAAACTAAGAGTCCTGCACATCATTGCTTTGGGGGGGTGGGGTGGAATCTGCATCTCAATTTCCCTCTCCCAATCTGCGTATTTAGCAAAGCATGTAGTTTTGTAATACATGTGAGATTGCCAAGAGATGCTTCTGCTTTTTAAAGAGCCCCAAATACATTATAGTGAGTTAAAGGGCAGTATGCTAGGGAGAAAGAGTCATCACTTACCACCCCAATGTGTGCATGCCCACTTGTCTGCCACATAACAGGGCCCAGTTCTGAATGGGCCACAACCTGGGGTTTGGGAGTCCTGGCATAGAGTACTGCTAACATTACCTAAACCCAAATGCTATTTTTAAGGCCTGCCCATCCCCATGCAGTGCAGTGGTTTTCTCCTTTCAATCACTAACTTGTTCTTCTTTTCACAGGGTCCCTGCCGCAGGCATTTGGCAGCCATCTTGCAGGAGCTAAAAGCCCCCCTCTACATGAACGGCGAAGATATCTTCATTCCCAATTGTGACACCAAAGGCTTTTATAGGCGGAAGCAGGTATCTACTTTAAACATGGTTTAAGAAGCAAAGGAAGCTGTTCCGGGTCTTTGAGGGAAGACGTAGCCATGCAGGCAAAACTCAGCTTTGGGCTGGAATGTCAAAGAAATTAGTGCAGAGAGTGAGTTTCCCACTGTGGGAGAAAGGGTGGGGGAAAATTTTACAAAATGTCCAAAGCCCACTCTGGTGGCATTTATGGGAAAATTTAGCTCCCTCCTCTTCCTTTTTAGAAGTCCAACCCTGTTTATGCTTATACATCCAGCTGAGTTCTATGACTCTGATTCAGTTGGAAGAACTCACAGGGATTGTCTTCCTTGCTGTATAGCGAGGCTCGGTAAGACCTACCAAATTCCAATTCTTCCAAACCCGGTTTCATTAGGACTGTCTAGATACAATCATCTTGCTAAATCTCTTTCCTGACCCAACCATCTCCCTAAAGTACTAGCAAAAGCATCAGCAGTGGCTGGTGGGGCTGTGCAGGATGGGACTTAAAGAGCAGCAAGGGTATTCTCATTGAAGTGTCATGGCTTAAAATAGCATTTCTCAATTTCATCAAGTTGAGCTCCTAGCATGCCGGCTGGGGAATTCTGGGAGACAAAAGTCCACATCTTTTAAACTTGCTAAGGTTGAGAAACATGGATTTAGAAGGATGTGTGAATATGTTGTGGATCAATCCTGTGCTCTTCAGTGATCATGGAAGGCTCTGTGGCTGTCTTTGCCTTAGTTCTTTCAGTTTTCTTTGACAGAGATCGAGATTAGAGAAATAGCTTCCTTTTTAAATATACCATATTTTTCGGGGTATAAGACGCACCTTTTTCCCCCCTAAAAGAGGGTGAAAATTTAGGTGCGTCATATACACCGAATGTAGCCCCGCCCATCTACTGGCCCCCACCCTTTGGCCTCTGCCTCCCAGCAGTTACCTCCTTGCAGCAAACAGCAAGAAGAAACAGCCCCTTTTCAGCTTCAGCCTAATTAGCACAAGTTGATTGGATCAGCCTCCCGACTCTCAGCTGTTTTCCTCTCAGCTGTTTTGCGAGGGCCTCTGCTGCTTGCTGCAAGGAGGTAAATTGCTGGAGCAGATTTTTTTTTTTCCCCTTGTGCTAATCAAGCTATGCTGAAAACAAAAATAAAAGTAAAGCAGGCTGTTTGCTGCAACGAGACAAAATTGCTGGGAGGCAGAGGCAGATTTCTTTTTCTTCTTTTCCTCACCAAAAAAGGTATAGGTGCGTCTTATACTCCGAAAAATACAGTAAGTTAGCCATTGCTAACCATTTTTTGTTGCAGAAAGAGGCTTGCTTCAGCGGCAGCTATACTGAGCAGCAAATAAGATTTATTATGATCTGCTTCAAATGAGTCATCTTATTATTTTTTTTACATGCAAAAGCATAATGTAAAGAAATCAGGTCTTCTACAGTGGGCATTGTTTCTCTGCTGTTCTAAATTTTCAAGGAAAGTCAATTTGCTGTTGAAAAGAGTCTTGTCTTCTCCATAGTGCCGGACCTCCAAAGGTCAGAAGAGAGGCCGATGCTGGTGTGTGGATAAGAGAGGCCATCAGTTGGAGGGGCTGGAAGAGAGCCCCCTCTGCCTGCTTGCTAACAATGACTGAGGATGCAGGAAGACCGGAGGCCGCCATGGTCCAACAGCAGAATTCTTGACTGAGGGGACTTCGTCTTATTAGAACAGTCATGGAAAATGTTTGCTTGTAATTTATTGCACAGTTGTTGCCTTGTTGGGATCCTGCCTTCGCTGGGATAACTTTGGAGCTCTTACGGTGTCTAATAATACTCTACAAAAGACTGGTCAGAGAAATAGCCGACTGGGGTCTTGTAACTGCATGACCGAAGAGGGGTGTTGAATAAGCTACAGGTAGTTGCATTACAGCAATAATGCTGGCACTTGAATCAATTATCTTATATCAGTAAAGATGCTTATACCAGTAAAGGAACAAGAATAGCCAGTTCCTGGAGGTGCAGTATGTATACTTGGGCTACCTTCTATACATTGTGTAGGGACATCAGGATTTATCTTATACATGCTTCCCAAAGAGATGTGTTTTGTGGAAGGGGTTTTAATAGCACAGTTGTAGTACTCGTTAAAGGGTGACATAGGCGGAAGTAAAATTTGGCCAAGTTTTTTAATGGCCAACATCTACAATTTAAGCAAGAAAATGAAAGTGGTACAGATACTGGAAATGAGATGTATGGAAGTTTTAGCTGTACCTTTAATGTTTTTCGCACTCTCCCTTCTGTTCTGTTTTATGGCTCTCCCCAGCATATCCTTTTAGAGTTATCTGGATGACAGGAAAACCTGAAGCTGCCTTCCCCGCAGGAAAGCAGTGGATGATGGATTGTCCCTATTTGCCAAAACGTGCTTTAATTTAATGTGTTTAAACAGATAAGTCTCTATTTCTATATGTTTTACTATACGTTTGGTTTCAATAAATTGGATGATTATGCCATTTTAATGATTTGCTGATACTTAAAATCCCCAATGCGAAGAAGCTAAAATTACTTCTTTTGGCGAGAGCTTTTTTAAACACCGTGTTGCATTCAAAATTTAATTTTCAGGGGCAAGTGGAATTAATAGTTCTTTGTAACTGAGATTGCTTACTTATAAAATATGAAGTAGCTGGTTAATAATTGAGAGGTTTAATTTACTTCTAAATGGGCTCTTTAAGATAAGAGGCTAGCAGTGTCCAGTGTTTTGCTGGGTAGAGTTTTGAAAACAAAGCTAGTGTAGAAAGATGAAATGGAAAAACAAAGATCCAAATTATGCAGCTGGTAAGAAGGGCAGGCTGTCCAAATGGATGCTGTCTTAAAGATCAGCACAACAGATCTGGCTTCCTGTATGTGAATAAAGCATTTGTTGTATCAGTCTCCTGGATGCTAGAAAATTTTGAGTTGGCATACAGTATTCATCTTAATAACCATAGTCAGCACAAGTATTTAGGATACATGATTTGTGGGGGGAAAATCTAGCCCATTTGACAGGATAAAGATTAAAAGCTTTATGGAGAAAATTACTGGAATATTGGGCAATAGTGTTGGATGATAAATTAATATGCAATTGTAATGAATTAGAAAGGTTGCCTAAAATGGAAAAATGATCTGGCTGACATCTTTGCTTCTGGCAGGGTTCATACCTATGGTTTATAAATCACAGTGGCTACTGTCACAACTAGCAAACCAAACCACATTATAATGAACATGTAAACACCATTATCTTCCGTTCTCTCCCATCCTCTTTAGATAAGACTTTGCTCTTTTTTTATTGCACTTAAAAAAACCCAAATGCAATATACGACCATTTGATTCTTGTTGCAGTATTACAACTCCGATGATGTAGTTTTGGGCTGGTTTATACAGGAGCATCTAGACAGGTCTACATCCATGTTGAACTGAAACTATAATTTATGATCAAATTAAGTGATAAATGATACAGCATAGCAGTCTCTGAATCACAGGATTTTTTTTACTGAAAGCAAGACTTTTAACCTTTAATATTTTAAATGTGAACTTTATAATAACTGCTCAAGCACAAAATTTCCGAAGTCAGACTGCTGTTGAAATACAATAAGTGGATGAGCCTTGCCTCTTTTTCATTTTTTTATTGCTGTTAAAATAATGGAAAAAAAAACAAAAAACGGGGGAATGCAATAAATAAAAATACATGCATTGTAAAAGAAAATTTAAAAGTGAAAAAAATGCAACAAGAAAAAGAAAAGGTATCCTGCCCCTCTTAATTAAAAGCATACTGCATGGAAAGATACCTCGTCTGTAACTTTAAAAGCTATTGTACTTTATGTAGTAACCCAGTTCCAGCTAACAAAGAATTCTTATTTTAAGTTCACATTTATTGCTTGCATCCCAATAGCAAATATGAAAGGTGGACACAATTCCTGAACCAAATCATTTGACAGTGCCTGTTCTAAGCTAAACATTTTAAAATGAACAGTAATCTCAGTCAACTAATCCTAAAAAGCCAGACCGTTCATCTTTATCATCCATAACTTCCTTTTATGTTGGAATTAACAGAGGGGAGAAATGAGGAGGCAATTTGACTACAAGGACTGAAATTTGCAAATCCTTTGGCTGCAGAGGCATAAAGGGGGGGCAGGGAGCCATACAGAAGCTTTTTGAATTTAGGAAGTTGGGGAGATGTTTCTGGCATTGCAGAGGGTTCATTTAACAAAGAGTACAAGACAAGACTTTCATGCATGTAGAATAAATCAGCTGAAATCTGGAACATTGGTAGTACAGTGGTCTAAGGCACCCTGTTATTAAGCTGGTTATTAAGACCAGCTGCCTGCTATTACTGCAGGTTCGAATCTCGCCAAGGCTCAAGGTTGACTCAGCCTTCCATCCTTTCTAAGGTAGGTAAATTGAGGACCCAGTTGTGGGGCAATAAGCTGACTTTGTATAAATATACAAAAGGATGAAGGCTATTGCTGAGCACATTGTAAGCCGCCCTGAGTCTCAGGAGAAGGGCGGCATATAAATCAAATAAAAAAAAAAACATGCGAACTGGAAAATAATCAGGTTTCTCCATTATCGATTTGCCAAATTCAAGCATAGCTACCGTAAATGCTGTTCATCACTCATTCCACTTATCTCAACCACAGCACACCTCAATGAAATGAGTTGTAAAATTGAGTGTGTTTGTTAGGAGATATCTCTTCTGCACTCTGACCAAGCTTCATCAGCCAATAGCTCAAAAAGCACATTTCTTTTTCACTTTTGGAAACTCATTGCCATCTTCATTCATTGTATACTCACTCACCAGGACAACACAACAATCAGGAAATAATTTGTGGTAGAAACTTTTCACAGTCAAGGGGATATCAGATTGTTTGCAGATTAATTATGCAAGTTGTAGTACTACTGTCTGTAAACAGTAGTATTGCCTCTTGTGACACAATACACAATCTTGACACAATACAAAGAAACTTCATTTCATACTAAACAAACAAAACTCTTTATTAAAAAAAGTTCATAAGTCAAGTTAGAAAATACTAAAGTACTCTCCATTTATTCTTTATCTAAAAAATTAACTATGTCTGTACTAGCTTTGACCATTTGGGAGGGAGATATTATTCCGTTCAAAACACCTTCATGGCTTATATCCAAAATTAAGCAAAGATGAATAAATTAAAACTTTTGCCCTAGTTATTATTTCATATTGGTTTCAGCATTTTACACATTTGGCGGACATATAGCAAGATACCTTGGTTTTCCTTAACACTTCAAATGGACAGGAAAAATATAGTATGTATGTCAACTTCATTGTTTGATTGGTTTTCTCTGTCTTTGGTTTTTGGAACCAGCTCTGATCCCAGTCAAAATAACATCCTTATGTAACTAAACTGAGCGATCATTTTAGTGACTAGGAAGCTGACAGGGTTTGAAAATAGACTATTATTAGAGCACTTTCAATCCTGTTAAGAAAGTTGGGGGGTGGCAATAGAAACTTTAAAAGCAGTTAATTTATCAGTTAATAAATTTTGGATGGCTATAAATACAAACATTTTGGGTGGGTATACATATAAGCACCTACTATGAATTTATTGCCATGTCCTCATCTAGATGCAATTGAATCCTTCTCAAAGGATTGCAATACCATTGAGGACTATCAGGATAAAAACAAGGCGATTTAAATCTGAACCATGGTGGGTTTGGTGAAGATCACAAAGTTTTGGCTTCCAAAAAGCAGTTTTGTACAAAATCCAGCATTTCAGACTGCTATCTCTCCTTCAGACCACTCTCAAACCTCCATTCTAGCCATACAGAAATTAATTCTTCAAACTGAAAGTGGCTTTCCTTTGCATGTCAACCCCACCAAAAAGGCCACAAATAAGTTAAATGTAACAGGTATCATGGATGATGTCTACAAGAAGTATTTTAGTGGAAGTAACCCCCTTCTCAAGATATACAATTAAAAATATTTCTATTTGTGCAATTATCATGTATAGGAGGACAGAACCTCCCTGGGAGACCTAGCGACTTATTGGCTCCCAGCAAACGCATTACACATTCTGTAACAAGCACTAGCCTCAGACCTTCAGTGTACTAAACCCAGGAGGCAAAATTTAAGCCAACAAGTAAAAAGCATAACCACTGGAGGAAGAGCAGCATGCTCTCAAATCTTTGTCGGCACCCTGGAAAATCAAAGGACAGCAGCTATTGCTTCCCAGGGGGAAGACAGTACAAAATTAGGATACATCTATCAAATTCACCTAGACTTTCAAACCTTCCTTCAAGTAGCCTGTTTTTCTCATGGCAAAATAATTTGTCATTTTTCCACTGGCTTTCAGTAACGATTTGCAAGCTTTCCATATTCTTCCTCTTTAGGCTATTCACTGCTAACAGCTGTAGGTTCTGACCATCTTGTACTTCATAAGATATTTAATCCAGAATATTGAAACATATCCCAAGTATGTTGCAGTTCATGATCATGTCATGATCTGGAATAGATGGCAGGGCTTTAGAGGCCTGTCATACAGCTACTTAAGCAATGCCACACAGAAAGGGCTTTTCTATAGCACTCCTCCATTTTAACAGCAGACGGGATCAATAAGGGGCATCAGTCAATCCATTTGCATCAATGGTGGCCAGTTTTATCTTGAAAATTTAAGTGATTCTGGGGCCACGGTGTCTCTGGGTAATCCTCATCATCCAAACTGTTGTCGTCTTCCTCATCTTCCTCTTCAAAGAGCTGATTCTCTAGAAAGGAACCCCCTAACCCATACTCCTGCTCATGGACAGAAGTCTCATTGGGGATGACATGTGAGGCACCTTCTACGAAATCAGCAAATCTGGAGGAAAGAAAGAACAATGTAAGCAATGCTATAACTAATGCAACCTACAACTACTACCCTCTACAATTAACTTTACAGTTTTTACCAAGTATTTGCAAGACAAAGTCTAAATTGAGGGGGGGAAACCTGCTTGGGGATAGCATGTACTTACATGCTGGGTTTTCTTCCCATGAAAGAAATCTAGATTGTTTTGAACTTGATTCCCTACACATCCATTTTTGTGGTTCTTTCACAAATACGGCTTTAAATTGATTTTTTTTTAAAAAAAAAAAATTAAGATTACAAAAAAAACCCTCAGCACATTATAGCTCACCCCTCCCTTCTGATGATCTTCATGGACTACCTTTTTGGAGACTGGATGCGGGAGACTGCTTTCCACGTAGAGAACTCCGGACTTCTGCAGTACTCCCGCAATTGTTCCAATTGTTTGCGTGTCTCTATCTCCCCCTGAATCCGATATTCTTCCTCGGTCAACAGGCGTGGTGGACTGGGTTTTTCTGGAGCTGTGAACAGCTTCCTGCTAGGACAGCAATGGCGTTAGTAGCACCTGTAAGTCAAACATTGAAATCTGGCCCTCTGCAATCCTCTTCAAACCACTTAGGAGAGGGGCACCTGATACACATTCTCTCAAAACTCTACCCTATGTTAAG